TTTCCTGTTCTACGTCTGCACTCCAACAGAGGAGGAGAGTTCTCCTCTGACCTTCTGCGAGCCTTCTGTCGTGCACGAGGCATCCGCCAGACGTTCACGCTTGCGGCCTTTCCACAGCAAAATGGGATTGCTGAGCGCCGCATTGGCATGGTCATGGACGTCGCCCGTACGTCCATGATCCATGCGGCTGCCCCCCATTTTCTGTGGCCGTTCGCGGTTCAGTACGCGACGCATCAGATCAACCTTCAGCCCCGGGTCTCCATGCCGGAGACCTCCCCTACTCTGCGGTGGACGGGGAAGGTTGGCGATGCGTCTGCGTTCCGTGTTTGGGGATCTCGGGCGTTTGTCCGCGACTTGTCTGAGGACAAGCTGTCCCCCCGTGCTGTTCCCTGCGTCTTCCTTGGCTTCCCCCCTGACGCGCCTGGTTGGCAGTTTTACCACCCCACCTCGCGCCGTGTTCTGTCCTCTCAGGACGTCACGTTTGACGAGTCGGTTCCCTACCGCACTGCGCCCCTCCCCCCGCCGCCGCTCTTCCTCGCGCCAGGTCCCCCCCCGGTAGACCCCCTCCACCCTCAGGGTCCTGCTCCCTCAGGTGTGTCCCAGGTAGACGCAGTCGAGCCTGTCGAGGTAGCTGTTGACTCTGGTGCTGCTGCGGGTGCGGGGCCTGGGGGTGCTGAGCCTGGGGGTGCTGACTCTGGGGGCGCTGAGACTGGGGGTGCTGAGTCTGGGGGTGCTGAGTCTGGGGGTGCTGAGTATGGGGTTGCTCAGCCTGGAGGTACTGAGCCTGTGGGTGCGGAGCGTGGGGGTGCTGAGCCTGCTCGTGTGGCGTCTGGAGGGACTGGGCCTGGAGGTCCTTCGGGTGCGTCGTCCCGGCGCGAGCTACTCTCTCCACAGGAGCTGCGCGAGTGGTTTGCTCGGCGGTGGAGCCGTGCTGCTGGAGCTGGAGGTGCTGCTGGTACTGGAGGTTCTACTGCTGCTGAGGGTGCTGGTGCCACGGGTCCCGGAGGTGCTCGTACTGGAGGTACTGGAGCTGCTGGGCCTGTGGGTACTCCTTGTGCTGGAGCTGCTGGAGGTGCTGGAGCTGGAGCTGGTGCTGCTGGGGGTGTTGGCGCTGGAGGTGCTGCTGGTGCTGGTGCTTCTGAGGGTGCTGGTGTTGGTGCTGCTGGAGCTGGTGCTGCTGGCGCGGCTGGAGCTGGGGGTGCTACTGGAGCTGGTGCTGCTGTTCGGGGTGCTGGTGCTGTTCCTGCTGGTTCTGGGGGTGCTGCACGGCCGCGACCGTACTTCGTTCCGCTCCTTGAGCAGGTTCTTGGTCTTCCGCCCTCTACTAGTCCTGCTCCTCTCTTCGAGTGTCCGCCGCCTGTCCAGTCTGAGTCACAGTTACAGCCAGCCTCCCCACTGCCTGCTCCTTCTCCCTACACTGGTCCTACTGGAGGTCTTGCTGAGCGTCGTGAGCCTGCGTCTCGTCCTACGTCGCCTGTCCGTGCTGCTGGCACTAGTGGTCGTGGTTCGTGTCAGCGTCCTCCCCCTGTCCCCGGCACGCACCGGATGTCTCTGCGTCCTTCCACTGCTCCGCTGCGTGCCCCTTTGCCTTCTCCTGAGTCCTCTCTTCCTGCTCTTGCTGACCCAGAGTCGGACTCCCTTCGCGCTGCCAGTCCTACTGTCACGCGTCTCCTTGCTACTGTCGTCACTGACCCTTCCTTCGAGTCCACTGCTGCGTCTGCCTTAGTTGCTGAGCTTGTCGACTTTGCTGCTCGCTGTCGTCTAGACTACGCTGCTAGTCTTGTCGCTGAGTCTGAGTCTGTCTGTCCTCCGTCCGTCGGGGGTGAGTGTGCCCTTGGCACGGACGTCCTTGAGGACAGGCAGGAGGAGTTCCAGTGCTTTGCTGCTGCTTCACCTCATCTCGTGTCCATGCTGCTGGCCCTTGAGGGAGACCCGGATGCACCAGACATCCCGACTCCGCGCTCTTACGCGGAGGCGATAGAGGGTCCCTACTCCTCTCAGTGGCAGGCAGCCATGGACGCAGAGATGGCTTCCTGGAAGTCCACAGGCACCTACGTCGACGAGGTTCCCCCACCTGGGGCGAACATCGTCAGTGGCATGTGGATTTTCAGGGTGAAGCGGCCCCCGGGTTCTCCGCCTGTCTTCAAGGCGCGTTACGTGGCTCGAGGCTTCAGTCAGTGGCAGGGAGTTGACTACTTTCAGACCTTCTCTCCCACCCCGAAGATGACCACTCTTCGGGTACTACTGCACATTGCCGCTCAGCGCGACTACGAGCTTCACTCTCTTGACTTCGGCACTGCTTTCCTACAGGGTAGCCTGCACGAGGAGATCTGGCTGCGCCGTCCACCTGGCTTCACTGGGTCTTTTCCTCCTGGCACCCAGTGGAGCCTCCGGCGGCCAGTCTACGGTCTCCGCCAGGCACCGCGTGAGTGGCACGACACACTGAGGACTACGCTTGCGGCTCTTGGGTTTGCTCCCTCTACTGCCGACCCGTCGCTGTTTCTGCGCACCGACACTTCTTTGCCGCCGTTCTACATCCTCGTGTACGTCGACGACTTGGTCTTTGCCACAGCTGACACTGCTGGACTCGCCCACATGAAGTCCGAGTTGCAGAAGAGACACACGTGCACAGACCTGGGTGAACTGCGCATCTACCTTGGCTTGCAGATCACCCGGGACAGAGCACAGCGCACCATTACCCTGACTCAGTCTCACATGGTGCAGCAGGTCCTTCAGCGCTTCGACTTCACGTACTCCTCGCCTCAGGCCACTCCTCTGTCTGCTCGCCACTCGCTCTCAGCTCTGCCTTCGGATGAGTCCGTAGAGCCGAGTGGCCCGTACCCAGAGCTTGTTGGCTGCCTCATGTACTTGATGACCTGCACTCGTCCTGACCTGGCATACCCTCTTAGCATCTTGGCACGCTATGTTGCTCCTGGGAGACACCGACCAGAGCACATGGCTGCCGCGAAGAGGGTGTTGCGCTACTTGTGCAGTACGTCGGGCATGGGGCTCGTGCTTGGAGGGCGGAGTCCAGTGGTCCTCACTGGTCACGCAGACGTGTCTTGGGTTGACGACTTGGCTACTCAGCGGTCGTCACAGGGTTACACCTTCAGCCTTGGTTCCGGTTCTGTTTCGTGGCGGTCTACCCGCTCTTCTTCTGTTCTCAGCTCCAGCTGTGAGGCTGAGATCTACGCAGGGGCCATGGCTGCACAGGAGTTACGCTGGCTCACCTACCTGCTGACTGACCTCGGAGAGCCGCCTCGTTCTCCTCCAGTTCTGTACGTAGACAACAAGGCGATGCTGGCCTTGTGTCGTGAGCACAGAACGAAGCACATTGCTCTTCGCTACTTCCTTGCTCGTGAGCTGCAGCAGCGTGGTCAGCTGCGACTTGCTTACGTGGCCTCTCAGGCCAACACTGCTGATATCTTCACCAAGGCACTCGCGCCTTGTGATCATCAGCGCTTCTGTACTCTGTTAGGTCTTGTACCTACTTTGCCTCACTTGCTCACTTCTTGACCTTGCTTGTACTTTGACCTATATATACTTGCACTTGCATGTTTAACTTTATATATATATATATCTCTGCATGTGAACTGGCCTTGTGGCCCTTGAACTTGTGCTCAGAATGTGTGGTGACGTTGTGATCGACCCTGAGCTTGCTGTGCTTTGCTTGACTGGTCTTGTGACCCCTTGTTCTCCCCCACTTTGCCTATGGGGGTATGTCAAACTTATATGCTATAGTCTTTCTAGGCTGTAGTGGGGTAGACAGTATGGGGTACAGCTTTCTAGGGTTTCATATTTGTTCCCAACTCATTTCCTAGTTCATCATTCATTCCTCATTTCTTCACACATGAAACAGCCCTAAGATGCCGTTTCACGTGATTGATGGTGACGGCGAAAATTTTGGGTGATTTTTTTGCCAGATTCATCGAATCTAGGCAATTTCGCTAACAAGGATGGCCCCACTACTGTATGATTCGAATCAGGGTCCCCTAGCAAAAGTAGGCTGACATTTCAGGCCTTGTACAAGAAAGTTAGCTGAAAAAACAGTGTAGGCATGAATAAAAAAACTTTCTCATCAGGGTTGGGACCTAAAAATACCCTGAAAATCAGGGTTCAAAGACAAAATCAGGGTAAAATTCCTGCAATCTGAGGGCCTGCTTGTGACCACAAGATTGTCATGATTGTTTTGATGCATCTCACTCAGGCTATGGGGGTGTGTCAAAGTTATATTATATATAGAGGAGGTTAGCCTATAGCAAGTTGCATCTTAGGGGGTATAGAGATAATCTGGACATCCTTCTTGTACCTACCCATTGACATAATCTACCACCTTTTGCCTTCGCTATTTCAACAACTTGCACGAAACACTTTAATCTCGGCTTCATTTCATGTTGTCTATTTCCTGGTTTGATGCGCGACAAAAAACGTAGGGTGGTTTTCGCATCCCTGAACCCGAATAAATGATAATCTCACAAATGTGTCGAGCGTGATTGCCTGGCGTGGGTGACAGTACGCGACAAACTTTGCGCAAGATGGGTTCATCGCGCCGCTCTGTGACGGGTTTGACACCACACTATTTGATTCGAACCCGGTAAAATAGAGCTGCGTTCGCATGCTACAATATGTCAGCCACACGGAGCTGTGGACATGATTTGCTGATATGCCAAGAATGAAAGGTTGCGCGCACTCATAGTCTTCTCACGCAATACAAGCCCTAAATTTTGGTTCTATAATGAATTTCTCGAGCTTTACCAAGTCTGATCATTGGACGGGTCGACAGCAGGCTGCAGCAATTACTGACACATGGGCACTAATGCCATCCTTGCATGCCATTTGGCATCATGGCAGGCAGAGGTGCCATGTAGTGTGGACCAGCAGCAACAGCAGCAGGCCAGCAGTCCCAGCAGCAGCGGCAGGATGAGTTTGAAGGGCGTAGCGTAAGTCATGTGAGCTGGACCAGGGTGCTTCCCTGCAAGGGCATAGTTGCCTTACATAGGCTACGAGTGAGGATGAGACATACCGGTATGATTAACCATCCCCTCAGGCACAAATTGACTGGAGATCAATCCGAAAGCTACACCTAGTGTTGCTACCTTGCCCGGCTCACATTCTAAGTGCACCACGAAGGGAACGGCTTCAGCAGCACCAGGAGGAGCATCAGACGCACAAAGAGCAGATCCATGAGCGTAGGGAGCAGAAGGAGGACACAGGCACACGATGAGGAGTTGCAGTTGGATGGGCGGCTGACACCACTGATGCTGCTGCTGACGTGGCGGCGGTGGATTAGTCGGCACCAGATGATGCTGCGTGTTGGTCTGCAGGGGAGCCTTCTCTTCCCGCTGCTCACTCTTCTCCACCTGCGCACAAGGAATGTGTTTGGCACAGGGCAAAGCGCATGAAAATCGATGAAAACAGAAAGAAGTTTTGATTGTAGCGCTCTGTATGAAAAACGAAATGCCATCCCCCTACCACTCACAATTGCCTCTGCCTCCCCTCCTACCTCGAATCTGCTCCTTCATCTGCTCCGTGAGCCCTCTCCTCCCTCAGCTGCTCCCACCATCTCCGCCCTCAGCACGCACACGGCGTCCACTGGAATGCTCTTCCTATTCATGCCCGGCAACTCGCTCCAGTCCTCTAGAGACTGCGCCATGAACAATCATGCCACCAACGCCCTAACCTTTTGATCAGAGGACGACTCAACAGGTGATTGCGATAACCACTGCCACATGCCCATGGGCGGCATTCCTGGCATGGCATATGGCATGGCAGGCATATGCAGGTACTGTGGGCCAGATGCAGCCGCAGCACCAACTGAACTAGCTGAACCACCACCAGCAGCAGCAGCAGCACCAGCAGCAGCACCAGCAGCAGCACCAGCCACCAGCAGCAGTAGCAGGATGGGTTGGAACAGGGAATGCCATGTGACCTGTACCAAGCTTGTCTTGCACAGTGCGAGGCTTAGGGTGATGAAGGTGCGAGTGGGGATGGGAGAGAGGATGAAGCATCCCCCCAGGCATGAACGGTAAGGGCATCAAGCCCATGGGTGCTCCCATTGGGCCCAGCTTGCCTGGCTCACACACTGGATGCAGCATCACGGGCACAGCACCAGGCAAACCCGGCGCACACGGAGCAAACCCAAGAGGAGGAGGAGTGGCAGCTGCCTGCCGGCCGGCTGAAGAAACGACTGATACTGCTGCTGACGTGGCGGCAGTGGATTGGGCGGAACTAGATGCGGCCCAACGGCAGACCTCGTCTTCCAGCTGCTGCTTGTTGGCCATCAGGCGCGCCCTCTCCTCCCTCAGCTCACTCTTCTCCGCCTGCATGCACGGGCAGGGCAATGTATGTACGACATAGTCAAGGGATGACTATTGAGTCGACTCAACAGTCAGGCGCGCCCTCTCCTCCCTCAGCTCACTCTTCTCTTACCTCTGCATTCGGTTTGCGTACTGCCCAAACCGAATGGCACATGCGTGGCAAAAGACTTGATAAAAATGGAGACACCCTTCCCCTTCCTCTCTCTCCCCCCCCTCCTCCCCCCCCCCCTCCCCCCCTCCCCCCCTCCCCCCCCCCTCCGCACCTTGAGCTCTTGAATCTGCTCGCTCATGTGCTCCGCGGAGCCCCTCAGCTGCGCCGTCTCCCTCAAACTCCCTTTTCCCCCGTAGTCTCCCCCCCCCCCCCCCCTCGCCTCACCTTGAGCTCTTGGATCTGCTCGCTCATGTGCTCCGCGGAGCCCCTCAGACGGCTCGTCTCCGCCCTCAGCTGCGCCAGCACGTGCACCGCGTCCACCAGAATGCTCCCCCTGTCCGCGCGCGCCAGCTCACTCCGCTCCAGTGCCCGCACCAACTCCTCAAACCTGCGGAACGGTGTGGCGGGAGCGAGAGTGAGTTAGGAAAGAAGAGGGGAGGGAGGGGAGGGGAGGGGAGGGGAGGGAGAGAACGAGGCGTGTTAGGTGGAAGGGTGGCAGGAGGGGTGGACAGCAGGCGCGGAAAAGAGAGGGCCGGGGGGGCAAAGGACAGAGAGGGGAAAGAGAGATAAGAAAGAGGTAGAGAGGAAAGAGAGGGAAGGGCAGAGCTGCAAGGCAAGTAACTGTAAGGTGCCCAAAAACAGGTTCAAAGGAGAGTTGAAGGAGCTTGTCGGGGAGAGCAAGAGATGGAGTATGGAGAGCACCCAGCAGGCAGCAGCAGCGACGCAACTGTCGTTGAGTCGGTCGCGGCGGATCTTCTCCCGATTGGCCTTGTTGCTGTTCGACTCGCTCGGCTCCTCTCGCTGCCTGGCCTCACACGCGCGGGACGTCGGGGGGTGCGTGAGGAGAGGAGAGGGGGAATGCGCCAGGAGAGGGGGAATGCGCAAGGAGAGAGGAAGTCGTGAGGCGGAGTTGTGAGATGGGGAACGCCGGAAGCATCAGAAAAATGACAGAATCAGATTTGTTTTTCCACTGGACACGCATGGGAAATAATGAGATGGAACGAGATGAACGGGGAAGAATTGCTTCCAGGACCAATGCGGTCGCGCGAAGAACGCGAAGAAACGTACAACGAAGAGAGGTGATCAAAATGACTTGCCTTTTATGAGAGGCAGCGCCGCCGACACGGTGTTCTTGCAATGCGACGGCTGCTTGTCCGCAGCGCTGCTCTCGTTGGCCCGACTGGATGCCCTGCCACACACGGGGGAAAGGGCAAGCATGAGGAAGGGGGAAACATGAGGAAGGGGGAAAAATGAGGAGCACGTGGAAAGCGACGGAGGGGAAAGGGGAAATGGGCGAAAGCGAGCTGTTGAGGAAGCGAGGACGGGCCTGGCAACGCCGGCAACCACGGCGAGAGAGATACAAAACACCCCAAAGACGCGTCGATGACCTGATCCGATCAACTCGTTATTGAGTTACCCGTTACACCGCTATCAACGGCATCCCAAAGGCGCAATCACGCTTACCTCTCGGATTCCTGACACGCGGAATCATGCTGCTCGGCCAGCATATTCTCTAGAAGTGTGGAACGCCCGTCACCGTCAACGTCCTGAAAGCCGATGAAAAGAGTTCCTTTGGAGCTTTGTCAAATGATTTATAAACGTAGGATTTCGAACGCTTTTTTGAGAAAGTATAGTCAGATTTCCGAATGCTTTGTCGAAAGCTTTGTAGATGCTTTTCAGATGACTACAAGTTTTGAATGACTTCAGACAGTCGCAACCTTGTAGACTTCAGAATGCCATAAAAACTCTTTAATGTGTTGGCAATGAGCTATAAAAATCTTGTTGGCATGCACCAAAAGTTAGATTATCGTGGTTGCCAAACATTCATTGTGAACATTGGAATAGTGTTTTATTAATTGATTGAATTACAATACATCAACAGCATAATAAAGATTGCCAATCTTTAACAAATATCTAGTCCCCTTCACATGATCTAAGCATGATTTCTCCCCAAAACGCATCGTTACAGCTGCGGAAACAGCAATGCCTGTGTTAAGAATGAACGGAAGAATGAAACAGAGAAGAGAGGGTTTCACTAGCAAGCAGTTGAGTACATATAGCAAACCCTAAATTGGGCTGTACTCATTATTGAGTACCCCACTGCAGGCTAGACAAATATAACATTCTGACACACCCCCATAGCCAAAGTGGGGTGTAATCAGCACAACAAGCAGCAATTTATAGTTCACAAATATAAGCAAAGCTAGAAGCTATCACAGAGGGCAAGTGTGGAGGAGGAGGGACTATGAGAGGAGAGGAGGTAGTGGGCGGCAGCTGAAGCTGCTGGCACACGGCGCAACTGGAGCAACTGGCACACGAGCAACTGGAGCAACTGGCACACTGGCAACTGGAGCAACTGGCACACGGGCTACTGGAGTAACTGGCTCCGCGGCTAACTCTGAGCGGCAGGAGCAACGGACCCACGGGCGACTGGAGCAACGGGCTCACGGGCAACTGGAGCAACGGGCTCATAGCGGCCAAGAACCGGTCAGCAGCAAAAATGCCACGCCGCATACAAGACGCTTTGCAGGCGGCTACCGCGACGCGAGCCGCTAGCGCTGCGACTGGGTGGAGGAGAGTGAGTTAAAGAGTGTGGAGGGAATCGTCGTGACGTGGCTGGTACGATAACTGAGGGAAGGGGGAATAAGGTAAGGGAAAGGGAAGGGGAAGGGGAAGGGGGTGGAGGTAGTCGAATGGGGAACGTCCTTGTTCGCGGCATCGTCAAAGCCCTACCCGACCCGTCTTCTCCTCCACAAAAATCGAATCTCGAACTGGAGGAGATTGTGATAAGGTGAGCAAAACTCGAAAGCACCGTTCTGTACCTTTCTGACTACCTATGCACCGTCGTAATTTCTGGTAGTATTTTTCTCTCTCCTCACCTACTGGTCAGTTAGGTGACCATAGGTCATTCTCAGAGTGGCGTGGCGACGTTCTGATTTCCCCCTTTTCAAGCTTCCCCGGAGAGGATATCTTCTCGCGACGATGACAGGCGGGCTGCGAATTCTGTTAGCAATCTACAAGGCAGTTCCCGACGATTGGTGGGATGTCCTCTATGACTTCACACCACACTCTGAATACCTCCGTATGAACGATTGGGCCTTCAGCAAGGTGACACAGGGAAGACAGGTGAACAAGACACCCTTCGGAAGCAAGACCTTACCAGCTGCGGTAGTCGTCACGGTGTGTGTGATCGAGAAGTGGCTGGTGGGGACTTTCTGCTCGGGAGCGGCGCTTGGCATTCGACATGAACTTCTCCGACAACGTCCATCGCTAGCGACGATACGGAAGCATCTCTACGCGCCGCAACCACTCGACCACGTCGAAAGATGGAATGAGATCCTCCCCTTTACGCTCCGCTCGCTACCCGACCTGACGCAAGCCTTTCTAAACGATCAGACCAGTCGTCAACGCGACGTTCTATTCCGGCTTTTTACCCGCTCCCTACCTTGCGGAGAAAGGATGCCTTATACCCCGTCTAAAGGAATATGCCAACGGTGTCACGCCAATCGCATGGAAACACATACCCATATCTTCTTCGAATGCGGCAACGCACCTATGGTCACCACCGCCTTGCAACGGGTCGCGCAAAACCATCTGCGCCTGGAAGTCCCGACGGAAGTCATTTTCTTCCCGCTCGCCTCTCCCGCAAGGAAAATTGCTCCATGGTGCTTGCTAGTAGGAGCAGCTGCAACTACTCTGTGGAGAGATCGCTGCTTGCAGCGGTATGACAACGTGTCCTACTCAAGCGTGGAAACCCTACACCGCATCTTGGCCCTCTTCCTTACAACGTGCAAAACTTTCTTTTTCCGCCGAGGCAAGCCCTCCAAGAAACGCAACCGCACCACTGCAAACCGAGCCCAAGCTGCCACCCGACACAAACTCCTGCTATTCTTGCCCAATGGGTTTCCCCAAATCCACCCGGAATTACGCTCCTCCTGGTTGCTCAACAGCCCCTTCCAACCACCTTAAGTGCAATTCTACACCTATGGCTTTCGACACAGAGCGGCCAGGAACAGCTCCTGTGCGTGAACTTAGTTCAGCTAAAGAAACGCTAAATGTTAGCGTAGGCCTCTGGCTTGGGTGACACCTTGTTTAGCCTCTGTGTTGTCTGGGTTACGACCTTAAAAAAAAAAAAAAAAAACTTCTCGCGACGATGAGCCCCCCTCCCCACCATAATGTATTTTTGATGCGCCCTCCGCCTTTTCCAAGCTCCCCTCCCCCCCTCCCCCACCCGCTTCTCCCTTGCCGAAACTTTGAGGAGTACCCGCGCAACTTCAGGAGAGTTCCGCGCTACCCAGTGAAGGTTGGGTGGGTGGGTGGGCCCCAGTCCAGATCAGACCGAGTGACCACATAACCTTGGGTTACTCGGTCTGATCTGAGTGCAACACACTAAGTGGGTGTGCAACGCGAGAAAGTGTGTTTATTGTGTCAGAGGTCCACTGGTGATCCCCGATTGATCCTAGGGAAGGGTTACAGGCACGTTGGCCTGGGGGGTTATGGGCGCACTGACCCGCTACTTAACAAGCTCTTTTATCCCAGTGGTCTAGTGGCTGGGATTCTGACATGGTATCAGAGCGAAGGTCTCGGGTTCGAATCCCGGTGTATGCACTTCGGGCATCCCAGTGCGGGGGGTGTCAAAGGTCCACTGGTGATCCCCGATTGATCCTAGGGAAGGGTTACATGCACGTTGGCCTGGGGGTTATGGGCGCACTGGCCCGCTACTTAACAAGCCCTTTTATCCCAGTGGTCTAGTGGCTGGGATTCTGACATATTGGCCATTCATCCAAGCTTTCACGTGCTTGTCATCACTAAGGTCCCCCTTCACAGTTGAAATTAACCTGACAAAATCAGATTAAGACAGAACGGACATTAAGAGACAGTGGCCATTGCTGTGCTGACAGCAAGGTAACACGCGACGCGGATCCCTGATTAGTAACTGGCAAAGTCCAAAATGAATGAGAGACTCCAAAGTACAGACAAGATCCGAAGGGACTGTCGTAATGCAAGGGACTGTGGTTTTTTGTAACTACAAAAAGCAGCATCAAATGAAATCTCTACAAATGAAGGGCTAGTTTCCCACCATCACAAATGAAGATACAATTGCACTGAAGGGTCAAACTAGTAAAAATAAGCGAGGGCATAAGCGAACGTTTAGAGCTAAACCAGCAAATGGTAATGCGTTCCGTGCGAGCTAGCTAGTGCAATGCTGGCAACGAGGTTCGGGCTAGTCTCGCAGCGTATGCTCACTAGGCCAAGTCCAATAGTGCGTAATGTGACATGTTGATAAAACCGGGAAGCGTAGTGGATATGATAAGAATTGTAATGAAGACAATGAAGTCTTGATGTGGCCTTGTTAATAATAGTTCAAAGAGAACAAGATGATTTTAAGATAGAAGTACAAGGATATAAATAGCAATCTAGCTACCCATGTACTCTGGGGGGTACGTTCTCTTATTAACTGCATTACATTGCAAGGATAACCGCGACTATTACTATAGTCAACAGTTACCACTTTGCAGTGTGTAACCTCCGAAACAGTTACTGGACAGTGAACAGTCATGACCGTTGACTGACTTCGACTGTTGACCTTCGGGTGAATCTCGAGCTCTCGCGTGCTCTACAAGAGCTATTGCGGTACTTGGTGTCAGTAAATCTGCACTGTGGATGCCCGATTGATCCTAGGGGGGGTTATAGGCACATTCGTTTATGGGCGCACAAACCCGCTACACAAACAAGCAATTTTATCCCAGTCGTTAGGGGCTGGGATTCTGACATGGTATCAGAGCGGTCTCGAGTTCGAATCACGGTATATGTACATGTAGGCCGTTGCCGCTGTGCTCAGTCCTAGGCCTCACAGAGTGGGGGGTGTCAGGAGATCTGCACTGTGGATGCCCGATTGATCCTAAGGGGGGGGGGGGGGGGGGGGGGGGTACAGGCACGTAAGCCTTGGGGGTTATTGACACACAAACCCACTACACAAACAAGCCATTTTATCCCAGTGGTTAGTGGCTGGGATTCTGACACTTTGTACAGTGACGCTGCTTTGTTATGAAGTAACGCGCTATGAGAGAACCTTCGAGAATGTTATAATAACCTTTCGGTTATTCCAACACTCCTATTCATTCCTGAAGGTGAGCCACGTGGGATTTCTTCTAGATAACCCAGAGGTCGGCGCAGTGCTGAAACTTCTGACGTGGCAATTTCTTCGTTAAGAAATCAGCTGCCATGTCACCAGTTGGGCAGTTCGTGAGTTTGACCTTGCCGTTGTCAATCTCGTCTTTGACGAAGAAGTAACGGAGTGCGATGTGTTTCGTGCGGTTCACGAAACCAGACTTGTTCGCGATCTTGATCGCGCTCTGATTGTTGCTGAGTAACGTGAAGTGACCGTTCATCGTCACCTTTGCTTCTTGCAGGAGCTCCATCAGGTACAACCCTTCGCGAACAGCTGCGTTGGTGGCGATGAACTTAGCTTCGGCTGACGAAAGAGCGATGAGTTCTTGCTAATGGG